TTTGTGACACAGGATTTACCTTCCATGAATCCGTGCTGGTTGTCGTTTATAATCTTGTTTCGTTCCAGGTGCTCCACCACTCTCCTCCAGGTAATGTTCTCCATGACTCTGCATACCGTACACGTCAGTGACACTGGTCTGTAGTTTAGTGCCTTGTTTCTGTCTCCTTTCTTAAAAATGGTGAATACACTTGCCTTCTTCCATACCTCAGGCAGTTGCCCAGTGTAGGTGTAGGTGTGTGTGTGTGTGTGTGTGTGTGTGTGTGTGTGTGTGTGTGTGTGTGTGTGTGTGTGTGTGTGTGTGTGTGTACGCGTACGCGAGCCAGCGTATCAATGACACAATGCTCTCCATTTTACGCCGACATAGCAATGCAGTTGCGATTACCTGTTGGCTGTTAACGGTCGTGTCGATGACACTCCTGCTGCAGTTGTGGCATTTATTTCTATATAATGGGACGATTTATCAAGGGAATTACGTATGCTCATTATTATCTGGGCTATCACATACACTGAGCGTTGTGAATGATTGCTGGTCCTATTGATTACAATAATACACTATGTATGTGTGTGGTTTAATTAATGGGATTTGTTATGTTAATATCGTGTTTGTAATCAGCAGCGTATGTTTGATATGCGAGAAGTTTTTGCAGGCCTGGTTGTGTTGTGTGTGTGGTGGGTGTGTGTTTATGCTGAGGGCGTTTTTTTGATTTGATAGGTGTCTGTGTGTGTGTTGTGTTGTGTGGTGTGTGTGTTGTGTGGTGATGTGTTGGTGATGTGTGCTGAGATATGATGTGCGTGGTTTTGTTTTGTGTGATGTAGAATGAAACATAGTTTTTGTACCATTTGTGCTTTTGGTGTTTATTTAACATGCCACAACCCACACATGCTATGATACTGGTAAGTTGATCAACACAAAATTATATTGGGTACAGTGCCACAACTACACACCATTATTATATTGTAAGTGTAATATAATACTGTGTTAACAGTGCCAAAAATACTTACTACCATCAGATATACTCGTGTCAAGTGCACCATAAACACATTCCCTACTTTCATATGGGTAAATCAAAATCCAATCACGACTTTTATCGGTTAACACACAACACACCACACACACTCAACACTGCACACCCCCCACACAACCACCACACACACACGCAGAGTCTCGGACTGCCCCACCAAACCACCACCACACACACTCGCTATAATACTCGGGTCAACAGTGCCCCACCAAACAACCACCACACACACTCGCTATAATACCTGGATCAATAAGCTCTTGGTCAATCTCAACCACGAGTTACAGGGTTGGCTGTAAGTAGACTCGTCCTTTCACAATCACAGACTGGCAAATTAAAACAACAAACTTGTTGACTTTTGTTGAGAAGTTTGCTGGGAACGATATTAGCTTGTACGTCCACAACATTCAGTGGTCTTATTAAAAAATATTGTCAAAAATTATTAATTATTTCCGATAAATAATAATTTTTGACAAAATGGAAGACGAACTCGCAACATGAGCTACCGATGTGGCGGTTTCTACTAAACGAGAGGGAGCTGCATCAGCACCCACTCCGGAAATATTCATTCATGCTTCTGGTCAAGGTCTGGGCCGCGGGGGTGTTGACCCTGGAATACCCACTAGGTAACCAGGCACCTGTTGTTGCCAGTGTTACATCAGGACGCTGTTCCGACACAGTGACTAAGCTGTACTAGACAATGATTTGGCTGGTACACCTGCATCGCTGCCTCAGGAGAATCCTACTGGCGAAGTGAGTCAGCTGGTTCTAACGACACCGCTGCTCAGTTGCCAACGGTGGCTAAGAAAACAGAGCTTGGAGAAAGGTTTACTAATTAGTTTATTTAGGTACAGGTACACGCAAGTAAATTTCTCGGACCTATATCAAATTATTGCCTAGGGTAACCCAAAAAAGCCAGATCAAGGTCCACTGATAAACAATGCCCAGTCTCATGAGCCACAAACTTGTTCCAGCATCACCAACTGAGACCTCACGATCACAGTTTACAGGGGCATCATCTAGCGTCCCCAACCCCGTCCCTCAACAACCCCGCGGTATCACCTGTATCAGATGACTTCTACATCTGTGGATGATTACGATGTCAACAACAATCGTATTTTTTCCACCAACATTCCTGAGTGAACATGGATGAGTGCAGAGCAAAATTTAAAGATGAATTTAACCGGAAGAATTCTACCACGTTGCTGAACTTCTTAAAGATACCAAAGACATAATTAAGACATAATAAGATTGTCTTATTCCAATTCGCATCATGAATATAAACTCTAGCAACATCTAAAACATTATATCTGAAAAAAAAACATACGCTTTGGGAACCACAAGAATCCATTTATGGACATATATAGGAAATCCACAACAATATTAATCTCCATAACGATGCCTATTTGATAATATAAACTCAATCCACCGTGCTAAAGTCTGCTATCAAACCAGACAATACCACAGCCTCAACACATGACTTTCCTGTCAAGTGCTTGTTGACAGTACCTTCACAGCTGACATGCTGTCAGACCAACTGACCCACCTGAAGTGAATGTTCCAGTGTGTCCGTCATCTGTGTCATCAAGTCTCATCTAACTTCTTTCATAAACCTTATATATATATATATATATATATATATATATATATAATATATTATATATATAATATAATAATAAATATATATATATATATATATATATATATATATAAATATATATATATTATATATATAATATCGTGCCGAATAGGCAGAACTTGCGATCTTGGCTTAAATAGCAACGTTCATCTTGCCATATAGGCAAGCGAAAATTTGTGTATGCAATAATTCGCCAAAATCATTCTGAACCTAACGAAAAAAAATATATTTCACTGTGTTTGTTTAGTATTAAATTATTGTAAACAAATCTAAAATATATTTAGTTGGGTTAGGCTAAAATAAATTGCTCTTGTTATAATAAGTTTAGGTAAGTTTTCTAAGATTCTTTTGGTGCAAAATTAAAAATTAACATTAACATTAATGCAAAAAAAATATATCTTTAAACGTATAAGAGAAAATCTCAGGACTTAATTTTAAATGAGTTCTTGCTAATTGACCAGTTTACATATTCGGCACGACATTATATATATATATATTATATATATATATATATATATATATATATATATATATATATATATATATATATATATATATATATATATATATAACACACATGTCGTGCCGAATACGTAAAATTTGCGATTCTGGCTTAAATAGCAACGGTCTTCTTGCCTAATAAGACAAGCGGAAATTTGTGTATGCAATAATTTCGCAAAAATCATTCTGAACCTAACGAAAAATAATATATTTCATTGTGTTTGCTTATTATTAAATTATTGCAAACTTATCTAAAATATATTTAGTTGGATTAGGCTGAATTAAACTGCGCTTGTTATAATAGAGTTAGGTAAGTTTTCTAAGGTTCTTTTGGTATAAAAATATTATTTTTATTAAAATAAAATTATTTTAACGTAATAAGAAAAATTTATAAATTACTAACTTAAAATAGTTTTGCATGCAGTTACTATTCTTAACTTTAACGAAGCAGTTTTGTAGACATAAATGCGGGCAAAGTTTATAACCCTTCTCTTACTTACTTAAGCTAAGACTATGTTTTCTTTAGAGGCAACAATGCCGGGCTAGGGATACTAACCGATTTTCATGTGTATAATATAATAATATAAAATATAATTTATGTATTTTTATATTATATTATACTATATATGTGATATATGTATGAATATATGTATTATATATATATATATTATATATATATATATATATATATATATATCAATAACACTGCGACTAGCCCAGGACTCGAACCCATGTCGTTTTGGCCCGCCTCATTGTGAGCAAAAATCACATGACCCTGTAAACCACAGGACCACCCAATCCTACAAAGATCAGGCACCCAGCAGAGCTAGGTGTTTTACCGTGATCCGGGGACATACGATCACCATGAGGAGGGCCAAAACAACATGGGTTCGAGTCCTCGGCTAGTCGCAGTGTTATTAAATACTACTAGTTCGTGTTTACAAGATATTATATATATATATATATATAATATATATATATTATATATATATATATATAATATATAATATATATATATATAATAGAAGAAAATATTCAAACAGCTCCGGGGAGAAACCTTGAGTTTTCCTAGGTACGTTTATTGTCTTCTCTGAGAGATGAGGGTCCCCATTCCAGCTATAGAGGTGGTACTACCCTATAATATACATATATATATATATATATTTATTATATATATATATTATATATATATATATATATATATATATATATATAAATATATATATAATATATATATATATATATATATATATATATATATATATATATATAATATATAATGTCGCTGGAAGAGAACATGTGTTATTTGCTAACCTATATTCTGTGGCCGACTGTCGTTGAATCCTTGTAGTCTACCACACAACTCACCCCGTGACGCAGCTCATCCCACCACACAACTCAACCCATGACACACCTCACCATGACACACCTCACCCTACCACACAACTCTTTGTATGACACAACTTACCCTCATCACACAACTCACCCTCACCACACAACTCACCCTCACCACACAACTCACCCTCACCACACAACTCACCCTCACCACACAACTCACCCTCACCACACAACTCACCCTCACCACACAACTCACCCTCACACACAACTCTTTATATGACACAACTTACCCTCATCACACAACTCACCCTCACCACACACTCACCCTCACCACACAACTCACCCTCACCACATAATTCGGGTAGGAGTACATGTTTCTGGAACTGAAACATAGGAATGAGAGTCTCTGGAATCGACCTTAAGTAGGAATGCGGGTCCCTGGAATCGACGTCAGGTAGGAATATGGGTTCATGGAAGGTCTACAGGTCGAGGTCGACTCACCTTTCGAAGTCTGTGAGGCGCGAGGAGTCCCGAAAGCCTTTGGCGAAGGGATTACTGTCGATCTTAAGCTTGGTGATCTGTCGAGGAGAAGTGAAGGTTAGTGAGGTACATTGCTGGTGACGTAGAGAAGAGGTGAAGGTTAGTGAGGTACACTGCTGGTGACGTAGAGAAGTGAAGGTTAGTGAGGTACACTGGTGGTGACGTAGAGAAGAGTGAAGGTTAGTGAGGTACACTGCTGGTGACGTAGAGAAGTGAAGGTTAGTGAGGTACACTGCTGGTGATGTAGAGGAGAAGTGAAGGTTAGTGAGGTACACTGCTGGTGACGTAGAAGAGAAGTGAAGGTTAGTGAGGTACACTGCTGGTGACGTAGAGAAGTGGAGGGGTGGAGAGAGAAAGAAATAGAAGAATTAAGGCATGGAAGTGTGTGTGTGTGTGTGTGTGTGTGTGTGTGTGTTGGTGGTGGTGGTGGGGGGGTGTGGTCGTGTGTATTATGCATGCGCCGCGCACGAACAAATCACCGAGTCAGGTGACAGTCACAATGAAACTACAGAAAAAAACAAATTAGAGGCCATCATGACAACAGCTTACTTGATCAAAGTTTCCAGGGAAACCATTGTTCGTCGATGCGTCAAAATTACTCACAGGAAAATTTTTTTGTCCTATTATAATTTTTTTTTGCCTAGTCATTAGCTGATAAACCACTGGCTGGTTTATCAGCTTTGTGGAACCAAAGAGAGGAAAAAAATATGTCAAATTCATCGACTGTTTTGAAAGAAATAGGTAGTGTGGTTTAGAATAAAAGCTGGAAGTGAGAAGTGGGTAATAGTGAAGTGTTGACATCTTCACAGAGGTGATATCAGGGTAATAAAGCCTACCTGGTGAGCGAAACATCGTGGTTAATGAAAGTATCAACTCCATTTCAGGGTTTACTATCCTTATCTATGTTTATATGACACATCAGCTTATACACACCCACTTACAGTATTATTATTATTATTATTATTATTATTATTATTATTTTTACTATTATTATACTATTTTTATTATTATTGCTACATTTATGGGAAGCACTAAACTTGTAAGGGCCACGTACACACAGATCATTATTATTATTGCTGTCATAGTCACGAGAGGGCAGTAAACCTGAAGGGGTGAAATAAACGCACTAGGAGTACAAGTACCACCCTGAGTGATCCTTGTATTACCTGTCTTGTAGGTAGTCCGCCCTTCACCCACCCTACTGAAGAGCTGGTGTAGGAGGGAGAAGTGACTGGTGGAATGACGAGGTGAAGGTGTTAGCAAGGAACCAGGAGATGGGCACGAAGTGTAGGTGATAACAAGGAACCAGGAGATGGCACGAGGTGTAGGTGATAGCAAGGAACCAGGAGATGGCACGAGGTGTAGGTGTTAACAAGGAACCAGGAGATGGCACGAGGTGTAGGTGTTAGCAAGGAACCAGGAGATGGCACGAGGTGTAGGTGATAGCAAGGAACCAGGAGATGGCACGAGGTGTAGGTGTTAGCAAGGAACCAGGAGATGGCACGAGGTGTAGGTGATAGCAAGGAACCAGGAGATGGCACGAGGTGTAGGTGATAGCAAGGAACCAGGAGATGGCACGAGGTGTAGGTGTTAACAAGGAACCAGGAGATGGCACGAGGTGTAGGTGATAGCAAGGAACCAGGAGATGGCACGAGGTGTAGGTGATAGCAAGGAACCAGGACATGGCACGAGGTGTAGGTGTTAGCAAGGAACCAGGAGATGGCACGAGGTGTAGGTGTTAGTAAGGAACCAGGAGATGGCAGGAGGTGAAGGTGCTAGTAAGAACCAGAAGATGGCAGGAGGGGAAGGTGCACCAGAAGAGTGCAAGACAGTACCAGGAGTGCAGAAAAGAGTACAACAGGAGAACAAAAAGAGGGAACAAGAGAAGAGCAAAAAAAAGAGTACCGTAGGAGAGCAAAGGAGAACTCTAGATCAAAGCTCGACATCCCGTTGCTAAAATGAAAACACACACACACACACACACACACACACACACACACAAGGTAGATAGACATAGAATGTTTCAGAGATGGGACACAGCAACAAGGGGTCACAACTGCAAGTTGAGAACTCATATGAGTTACAGGGATGTTAGGAAGTACTTCTTCAGTCATAGAGTTGTCAGGAAGTGGAAGAATCTGGAGTGAGATGTAGGGAAGGAAGGACCCATACATAGCTTTAAGAAGAGGTACGATAAAGGTCATGGAACAGGAGTGGACCTAGTAGCGACCAGTGAAGAGGCGGGGCCAGGAGCTATGACTCGACCACTGCAACCACAATTAGGTAGTTAGGTGAGCACACACACTGGAACAATCTAGGGAGTGAAGTGGTGGAGGCAGCATCCATACATAGCTTTAAGAGAAGGTATGATAAAGCTAATGGGGCATGGAGAGAGTGGACTTAATAGCGACCAGCGAAGAGGCGGGGCTAGGAGCTGTGACTCGACCCTTGCAACCACAAATAGCTGAGTACAAATAGGTGAGTACACACACCTAAGTACTGCCTACTTTAATGTAGAGTGTGCAGGTTCGAATCCTGCTGTGGACTGAGAGATAATGTTTGTAAATAATTTCGCCCGTTTGCGCCCGCGCCCACGCACGCACGCACGCACACACACACACACACACACACACACACACACACACACACACACACAGGGGCCCATGAGCCTTGAATCGACCCTTGTAACCACAATTGAGTACGTACGCACCACACACACACACACACCACACACACCACACACACACACACACACACACACACACACACAAAGCCCAGGAGCTGTGACTCGACTCCTACAGCCACATATAAGTAAATATATACACTGCTGTAGCAGTTCTGTCTCAGGCCCCTTAAGCTGAAGATGTACTGTAGGAAGCACAGTACAGTTCATCTAGGTACACAGGCACACAAACATTACACAACCCCAATAGATACACAAGAAAACACGTCCAATACTTGAGTTGATGAAGGTTACAAGACGGGGGGGGGGGTGAAGGAGGGGAGCCTGGGGTGGTTTATATCACTCATATTCACTACCTAGAACACTCGGTGGACCATAAATATAATCAACTAATGTCCTGGTATTCCCACTAAAACCTCGCCCGCGTGTCCTCCGGGTTTTGACGCTCAAACTGAAAGAAATACTTAAATGGTTAACTGTCGGTGGAAGAGATCCCAGGGGCTCGCAAATCGTCTTGGACCCCTGTCATTCAATCATCCTTATCTTATCTGGGACATGATTGGTGGAGGGATCCGGCCTCTTCCATGTCTCGGTAGCATATCAGCCAATCAAGTCGCCGCTTTCATATCTCAACCGCTGCGTGAAAACCAATAAGGTGAGCGCTTTCATCAAGTATTCAGCGGGCGTTGGATGCGAGCTCACCGGGGATTGGTTGATATGATAAGCGGCTAGGGGGTGGGGGCGGGGGGTTCCCGCTGCCGCGTACGATAACTTCCCTTTACGACTTAACAAATCCCAACTTATTACGTATTTATATTTGCTTCGGATAGTTGAACATTTAGCGTCGGCTTCTGTTTCCTCACAATGGATCGCGCTTGCGATCTTTGCCATCTCTTACGCGTGTTTTTACCGATAATAAAAGCGAGAGAGAGAGAAAGAGAGCGAGCGGTCACTGGCTCAAGCAGCGTCTCCCCCAGATAATTATATTCAAATCATGGTTTACATGATAGGTTTTCCATGGCAGTGGTGCCACTGGCACTCGGGGAAGCAGAGAGCAAGCAGAGGCGTAGCTGTCGCGCCTCCCGCCTCATAGTTGGCAGTCCGGACAGAAATATTGACGGCATTGGCTTCAGGGGAATTGGGAAGCGGAGGCAAAAACAGTATAACCCACGCCTTTCCCTAAGGCCGTTTCTCCTATCTCTCCACCGTAGGTTCATGCTCTTTATCAGCCACAGGCCAGGGGTAGCGGCTATCTTATTTTATAACTTCTAATATTGTGCTGGAGGTGTGGAATACCATCGACCCCCCTTAGGCCTATAGACTTTTAATGTTTTTTTTTTTCACAGGCCTAAAATAAACTTATTTTGGAGATATTTTTAAGATTCGTATCACAGATGTCTTAAATTGTTACTTGCTACGTGTTGTGGTAACAATCCATATAGACATATTCATAGCTTTGTGTATGTATACATTTATACATACAGTCATATCCCAGTCACTCAGACACACACAGTAACACTCCAGTTACTCATAGTAACACTACAGTCGCTCACAGTAACACTGCAGTCACTCACAGTAACACTGCAGTCACTCACAGTAACACTACAGTTACTCACTCACAGTAACATTACAATCACTTAGACACTGTAACACTACACTCACTCACGCTAACATTCCACTCACAGTAACACTACACTCACAGTAACACAACACTCACTCACAGTAACATTACAGTCACTCGGACACACACACAGTAACACTACAGTTACAGTAACACTACACTCACAGTAACACTACACTCACAGTAACACAACACTCACTCACAGTAACATTACAGTCACTCGGACACACACAGTAACACTACATACAGAATAACACTACACTACAGTAACACTACACTCACAGTAAACACTACACTCACAGTACACTACACTCACAGTAACACTACAGTCACCCAGACACTCACAGAATAACACCAACTCACAGATCGTACCACTACAGACATCCTCACAGTAACACTACAGTCACCCAGACATCACAGTAACACTACAGTCACCCAGACACATCACAGTAACAGAACACTACAGTCCATCACTACATACATCATCACAGAACACTACATCCTAGTACACTCACAGATAACACTACAGTCCGCACTCACAGAAACAATTACCAGACACTCACAGAAACATACACCACAGAACATCACCAGACACTCACAGAACACTACAATACCAACACTCACAGAAAACACATCACCAGACACTCACAGTAAACACTACAATCACCCAGACACTCACAGTAACAACTCACAGACACTCACAGAACACTACAATCACCCAGACACTCACAGTA